TCCCCCCCCCTCACAGACACCCTTTTTTCTCTTCTCCAAGCCGCCCACTGCGATAGACAACTGAAAAAGTAAATATCAAATAACAGCTAACAATTATGCATAACTCAATCTACGAACTGAAATTAAAGAATATAATATAGATCTAGAACTATTTTTGAAAAAAAACAAAAAACAACACAACACCCATCCCCTCAAATTACCCTCCCCTCCCCCTCGACCGTGGCACTACTGTAAAATTGAGGTCCTGTTTGTTGACATGACGGCCATGGTGGAAGTGAAGGCGGAAGTTATATGCCAGGTGCAAGAATGGTTTCAATAAGCTTAGACAAATAAACATTAGAACAAATTCCCTCTTTTAACATACAATAACAATATTATGTGGAATCTTTGAAAGATGTTTTTGCTTTAATTTTTGGGGTCTTTCGAATCTGTCTCTCTTTTTTTCATTTTAATAGGAGTAAAAAAGTTCTCTATTGCATGATTGACTTCATATGGAAATTTAACAACTAAAATGAAAGAAACATTTCTTATTTAAGTGGAGGGGGTGGGGTATGTGCGGCGGTTGGGGAGGGGGGGGGTAAAGAGCTGGTACTTTATTCATAGACTTTACTGACCTTTACTGTAGTGGAAACTGCTGTGACAGGTGAAGACAAATATTGTCTGGAGCGGCCTGTCCTGTTTTGCCGTGCAGCTCGCGCCACATGAATTCATCAAGGTGGTTGTCAAGTGTCGTGTTTTGAATGTCACACGAGTGCTTAAAACATCTCTTGCAGTTTTTCCATGCCCCAGTCACAGGGTCCACAAAGTTTTCTTGATGAATAACCACGAGGTGCTGAAAAGAGGGATTCAGGGGAGGGTGTCCATATATATTGTTGTAGGAGGCGAGGCCATCTGAATGGATGATACTGCTGGCTCAATATATCTGGTTACAAAAGACAGTAATGTCGCGGTGGATTTGTCCAGTGTGTGGGTAAGAAACCCTTGACCTGTGGCAGGGAAAATGCCGTCAAACACCCACCTATGCTCCACGACATGTCCAATGTTGTTTTTTCTCCGAGCAATTAGAGACTCGTCTATCTCCACCACAAGCGCTGGTCCACCAATTTATGGATTGTTGACGAGGTGATTAGAACAAATGTCTCGGAAATAAGTAAACCACTGCAAATGTTTTGTAAGAGAGTCCACAATCCACAGAAGTGGTAACAGGAATCTTAAAGGCCCACAAGAATAAAAGCTAAACAGTTTTTTGGTACTTTAAATTAGTTTTCCCAATTGGAGTTTTTCCTTTTTAAAAATGTTGTTAGATTTATGTGCAAGACATTGAAACGTACTTTCGTCTCCCCTTCCAGTTCTAATTAAAGTCATAACAGGGCCAAATGTCGAATAATTTGAAGAGTTTTGCCGTAACAGAGATCGTTGCTGTAAAAATCCAATGGCACTTGCCTCGTCTTGAGCATGAGTAGATCTATAAAGTAAATTAAGAGCCATTAATTCATAGTAATATCAAACACAAGATTCATCCATTCAAAGAACGTGCACACATAGTATATTATAATAATATTATATATAAATATATACAAAATCTAAAATCCAAATTTCAGAAAAGTCCAATATCAAGCATAGAAAGTCCAATATCAAGCGAAATCGGAAAACTAAAGTTTTTAGTTATAGTAGAGGTTTTCCAGTGCTCGTAATTGCATAAGGTCATATGAGTGCCAAGGGGTGGATGTCAACAGAGAAGTCTTTACAGGGAATCGGGCTTACTCTGCTCACCTCTCAAGTTTCAACAGCAAAAAGTCTACTTCGACTATCAAGGCCCCCCGGAAATAGCGGGCAACAAGAGTGAGACAAACGTAAAAAAGAAGTAGAGAAAAATGATGATAGTAAAGACAAGGAAAGAAAAAGCAGCAGTTCCATGTTGCAATTCTGGCACAGTTATGAGCCTGACATCGATGAATCAGCCCATTTATAATTTCACTGTGCAATAGAACATGGTTCTGTCCCCCCTTTGGGAATGGCCTAAAGATATTTCAGTCAGTAGCACCGCCCTGGGGGGTGGAAAATTAAAGCACATAATTATCCGCACAGTAAGAATTTTTATGAGAAATGATCACATAGATCTAGCATCTAATTAGATCATATTTACCCCTCTCGTAATAGGCTACTTACCCTTCCGGTCAATACCAAGAGTCACAAGTTGACATTCGGCCATCATCAAGTGTCAAGAGTCACACAAAAAAAACCCAAAAAAGCGAAAATTGCTTCAGGTCGATTTCAAAAGTCACATTGTCAGTTCTATCCATCAAGTGTCAAGCATCACAAAATAAAAAAAAAATAAAAAACAACACACAAGCAGATAGCTAGAGTAACATTACCAGTTCGGGCAGCAGGTTTCGTTTTTTGTTTGCCGGCACTAGAGCGCGAAAAAATCTTTAAAAATTTTGTTTTTGAATCCTATCCCAAAAGTGCAGCAAAAAAACAGGAAGCAACCTCCCTTACTTCAGTTGACACAACAGTCAAGGCGGTGTTTTGCTCAAAGATTCATTAAGACAGCGTTTTCATCCATCAGGTGAGTAAAACAGCATTACGATCTTCCCCCGGAAGAGTACACTTTGTTTGTTTAATGAAGGAAGGGGAAGCTTTATTATAATGTTTTGTTAAGCTCTGAAAGCTGGAGAGTTATTCAAATATGGAGCCCTGTCGAGGGAGAAAGAGAATGTACAGTTCAGTCAAGCCATTTTTGCCCAAAGGGGGGGGTGCCCGGATAGTTAAAAAAAAAAGCGGTAGATTCTCATCTTTCGGGCAGACATGTTACAATGCCAATGGTTAAATGAAAAAGAATTATGATTTTGTGCATAATTTAAATAACCCAGAATTAGAGCTTATATGCCAGTAATACTGAAAAGGCCAAATTCAAATACAAATAGATCTAGATCTAGAGATAATTAGCCATCGAAGAATTCGAAAGTGACACTGATGATGATGACAGTAGTGATAAAATTTTTTAGATAGATAATTAATCACTAAGAAAAGTCCCTCATGTGTTCATTACAGAAACAAAGATCGGAACAAAATCAAGGGACGACCGAAAAAGACTGGCGAAAAGGAGAGAAAAACTCCCAAAAGAGAAAAAAAGTTACATGATCCAAAGGTGATTCTCCAGGCAATTGAAAGTGTCAAGACAGGTCAAATGACTCAAAGACAGGCTGCTAAGAATTTTAACATTTCACTTTCTACGTTGAATGACAAAATAGCGGGCAAGACACCTCTAGCACCTAAAAAGATGTGCCTTTTTTTACCTGAAGAAGAGGACAAACTTGTAAAGTTCATATTGGTCAGGACCAAATCTGGATTCGGGCTGATGGCTGATATCCGGAGAACTGCCCAAGCCATCATCGATTTGCCGCCTTGCGGCGGCCACCAGAGAAAGACAACAGGAACATCAAGCCATCTGTGGCCTGGGTATACCGGCTATTTGAGAGACATCTTGAGCTCACCCTGAGGTCGACCATGGGCCTTGGGAAGAAACGGGTGACAGTGACACCCCAGGCCATATCAAAATGGTTCAAAGAGCTGAGGGACCATGAACATATTGTGGCCATGGACCCTTCTCTTCAGGAGGATGGAAGCCGCATTTACAACGTTGATGAGAGCGGCTTTGCCTTTGACGTCAAAGGCAGGAAGGTAGTAGCATTCAAGGGAAGCAAGCATGTCTATAATCTGACGTCGAACACGAAGACTCAGGTGCAGTAAAAATCGTTCAATAAGAAAGAAAACTATTAAAAAAAGCACTCGGCAGCCAAAAACCCCACTTACACGATATAGACTAGATTAGTAAATTTTACGGCGCTCGCAACTGCATAAGGTCATGAGCGCGCTGTGGCAAGCTGTCTCACATTACATCAGAGTAAAGAATAATAGGACATAACAACATTCATAAAAATCTCTGTTGCATAGGAGCTATAAGAAAATAAATGTATGTAAAACAAGTTTATACTACCAATCTTCAGATTTTTCTAAACAGGCCAATGGTCTTCATAATACCTGAAATATAATAATATGTAAATCATACTCAAATTAAACGGTGTATTATTTAACTTCTTGCTTTTTTTAGGTCTGCAAATTATCCGGCAGCTACTTAAATAGTATTCTACAGTACTTTGTATGAGTGGTAAAAGCTGTCAGAGTTCTCATCCAAATCTTGATATTAAGTTTGGTCAAATAATTTTACTGTTACTGTTACATCTTTGAAATCATGTATATATGTTACATACTGCTTACCACCCTCCACCCCACCCTTTTTCCCCGCCTCCAAATCTAGGTGACAGTTCTGGTTTGCATGAATGCCACCGGCCACTACCTTCCTCCTGTGATGATCTACCCATACAAGCGACTGCCACAGAAGGACTTAGCCAGTGGTTTTCCCAGAGCTGTCATACAGGTCTCCGATAATGGCTAAATGACGGAAGCCATATTCTTTACTTGGCTCCAAGATTCCTTCATACTCAACACAAAGCATGTGAAGAAGCCCTTGCTACTTCTGGTTGATGGGTAAACGTCTCACACCTCCTCAATTGAGACATAAACTCTTTGTCAGGAGAACAGCATAATCCTGTTTTGCTTTGTGGCCCAAGCCAGCCATCTAATACAGCCCCTTGATCAAGCCTTTTTTGGCTCTACAACACCTGCATGGGCTCAAGCTACTTGTCACCATATTGCCAACTGCGGCAATGCTGTGAACCTGGATAGCTTCGCCTGTGTTCTGAAACCTGTCTGGGACAAATCAGCAACACCTGGAATTGCCACCCAAAGCTTCAGGGCTGCAGGCATTGTCCCCTTTGATCTAGACAGGGTCTTCAACTCTAGAAAGCTGGCACCATGTGCTGTCTTCCGCACAGCACAAGCACCTTCCCCGCCAGAGGAACCAGCCCCCCCGGGCTTCCCTTCTGCTACTTCCCTGCCAGAGGAACCAGCGTCTCTGAGCTTTCCTTCTGCCACTTCCTTGCCTGAAGAAGTAGCAACTCCAGCCTCCTCTTTCGCAAGTTCCATAGCCAGGGAATAACTGCCTCTGCCTACCCTATCTGGTTTTTCCGACCCCAGTTCCGTGCTTACTGTGCAACAGTTCGAAGCAATCAAAGACTTTGGGATCTTTCTATATGACTATCTTCTTCGGAAGAATTTCCTTAGATTCTTCTCTGTCCTGGCAGGTACAGAAATGGCCCCTTCAGACAATTCTTTCAACATCTTCCTAGAGCATGTTGTGGAGATTGCGAAAGCCTTCACTCCAGCAACCACAGCTCTACCACCAGAGCAGACTCCGGTGAAAGCACCACTTACCGTCGATGATAGTTTGAAGATACCTAAATTCAGCAGCACAAAGAAAAAGAGAAAGAAACTTGACTCCAACGATCCCACACTGTATCACTAGCGAGGACTTTAGAGGTGTAATGAAAAGAAAACTCGAGAGTAAACAAAAAGAGGAGAAAGATAAACTGGAAAAAAAGACCATGAGGGAAGAAAATAAGAGAAAAAAAGAGGAGGAGAAAGAAATGATGAAAAGAAAGAGAGAATTGGAAAAGTTGGCAAAGAACAAAAGAAGGTCGAAGAGAGGAAAAGAAAGCTAAAAAGAGAGAACTGATGAAGCAAAAGACAGAGATGGCGAAAGCATGTCGAGCCAGAAAAGAGAGTAGCAGCAGTGGAGAAGACAAAGAGACGGAGACGCAGATGTTTGTAGAGATGAAGAGAGCCGACGATGAAGGTGATGATGAGTGGATGAAGATTAGATCTGATCTTTGCAAGGGCTGTCACCAGAAGGGGGGTGCAGAACTCTGGTTACAGGGCTGTGATGGCTGGTGGAACAAGCGTTGTACCAATGCTGCTTCACTCAGTTCTCAAGAAATAGAAAAGCTCCAGTTTTGGTGCTGCGAATGTATTCCAGACCAGTAGCTTGAGAGTAATGGGAGTGCACTGTTTCCATTTATGTGTTCGAGTTGTTGTTTTTCATTAAAAATCTACATCTATGGTTCCATTTATATGATTGCTTCTGGTTTAGTTTGTGGATCTTATGCAGAGAATTTGGTGTTGTTGCTGGTTCTTGTTTTTTTAACTTTGTCAAACAATGACATGCTCATTAAAATATAACTAAAATCTATGTAAGTGGTGAAAACCAATTGACACACACTAGATCTATAGTGCCCGGGTGTTGAAAGCATTAACAATCATGTTATTACAAGGTTGCAAATGTGATAACAATTGAAAATGCTGTGATGTTTGTGGGCCCTGTGGGTTGTGTGACTGAATGCCGAAATACTGCCCGAATCCAAGGAGTGCAAAAAATGGTGATCGAAAACGTAAATAAATGTGGCATCTCTTTTGCACCCAGTCAGGGCCTCAGAATCCCAACAGGCAGAAACGGTACATTCCTGGGGTCATCCAATCACAGGGCTTCCTGTTGCCAGTTTCAGTTTTCCTCTCAGGCAAGGCAGACAGGAGATAGAGAGGCTTAAAGACGACATAGCCATTTTTGTCCAAATTTTGACCGAAAGGTAATATTCTACATTAGATCTAGATCCCGACAACTAAACATCATTGGCAAATATTTATAGTAATGGCCATCTTGTTTGACCTCGCAAGGGGGATGCCCGCTGCGTCATCTGATCAAAGATTGTCTACTAGAAGAGAATCTTTAATCTGATCGTGATTCTAAAAATAGTGAGGATTTCGTGTAGAACGCGGTTTGCACTGGCAGTTTCCAAGCTTCCCTCTTTGAGTTTTTCCCAGTGGTTCCCCGTATACTGCTTTTGCACCTCACAGTATTTGCAAACCTTACGGTCTCGAATTAGACTACCCCCGGGGGTGCCAAAATCTGGTCATTGTTCTGCCGGCGCTCTTTGGAAATTGCCTGCCCGTTCCAATTGATAATTTGGTGCTTTTTTCGGTAGTTCCCACCCCCTTTATTTGAGCCTAGATCTGTCCCCGAAGAATTATGCAAATTTAGATGGCTATATTATGCACACAAAAAATCAAAATTATGCAAAAATTATGCAAGTTACCGTAACACCATTCGCGACATGTTTTGCACTTTTTCAGCAAGAATTTTCATGTTTTATGTACAGAAAAATTGAAAACAGAACATATCACTATAAGTAATTTGTTGTGTATTTGGAAATAAAACAATACACATCAGTCAGAAAAAAAAAACCAAAAATATATCTCTGTAACTTTCAGCTGTAGATCTAGATCTAGAATCTAGATCTATATCATATCTCTATAGAGGAAAGAAAAATGTAAAAAAAAAAAAAGGGCTTCTGGACCTCTGATCCTGCACATTACTAAAACCAGGAACACCTGTCAAACATGAAACACCAGAACTAAGACATGAGAACAACAACTTTTGAAGGATTGAAAAATTGAACATGCTCAAGGAACAAAATCCCAACCCACAATCAAAATCTTCTAACAAGGGAAATAACCAACTTGTCACTTAAATTAGACTTATTTTGGTGATTACTTCCCTTTATTCACATGGCGAGGCGTCAATTAAATTAATTGTTTTGTGAAAAAGGAAAAAAACGTGAAAAAACGCTGGGAATCCAAAATTATGCAAATGTTTCTGAATTACGCGGAAAAAATGCATCAGCTAATCTAGATCTAGATCTACATGATCCAAGTTTAAACGACCAAAGTTGTGTCGATAGTGCCGTTAAACACCTACCCAATCAATCGATTCAAGTTTGAAGCACGGCGAGCTAAGATATCAAACCTTACAACTGCAAAACATCAAATTATGGTAAAATCAGCCCCCTTGGAACCCCCTCACCATATTTTTATAGGTCAAGTGGGCGGAAAGCCCCCCTGAAACCCCCCTACTCTTGGGGCCAAAACCCGCGAATAACAATTGCGGGGTGGGAACTATAAGATCTAGAATAGATCTAGATCTAGAGCTAGAATCTACCGAAAAGGCGCTGATAATTTGCCACGCATGTAAACATGAAGATTGTGTGGGTTTTTTTTTTTTTTATATTTGCCACGGGGCCCCC